TCACGTTTGCTCAAACTCTCCAGTAAATAGCGGTGAGCCGTTCATCAGTTGGCTTTTTCAGTTTTGAACTCTGTCCCCTCTAATGTCCCTCAGCCGCACCCACCCACGCCTACAGTCAGCTCCTTGGCTTTGCCACCAGAAAATCTTTCCTTCGAGCAGCCCCATTCAGCTCACTCACTAGCACTCAGCAGCTCGCACCGTCTTCGAAGCCCTTCAGTTTGTCAGGGGCACCCTTTCCGCTCTCCGTTACCCCGGCCTGCTTCCACGCGCAGGATCTTGATAGACCCACGGCCACTGAAAGCACCTCCGGCTACCGCCCTTCCTCCCTCTGCTGGTCTCACCTGGTGCGTTCCTGCTGCTGAGCGGTTCTCTTCTCTGACCTCCCAATGGCTGGACATGTCTCAGTACAGTCGGCGAGGAAGTTGTATACATCTTGGGAAAACCACTCAAAGAAAGAGGAGTTATTTAAGAACTTGGAAAAGTTCTCCACTTGCTGGGTAATATATATCAATCAGTATAAATCAAGTTAGGCTTTTTGTATTCTAAGTAGTGTATCATTTTTTGCTTTTGAAAATGATGATTCTTCCTGAATTTAAATATACTTCATTCAATCATCGCTTCAAGGTAGAAAATGGTGTCCTAGAAGTTGTGTACATCTACATCTAGGGAACTGTGGGAGAGTGTGAGGGAAAGGCCAGCCCCCCACAACTAATCGTGGGTTCGATAGGTGCAATTGTACGGTTAAAATATATAGATAGATAGATACAGATAGATAGATAATAATAAAGTCATAGAAAATAAGAGATAGATAGAAGAGATTGAAATAATGGAGTAATGGAGTCAGACACATTCATGGTAGCATGCTCACCTTCTGGATGGCCATGATCTTACCAGCCAGGTCTGCACACAGCATGGGCCAAGGGCAGGAGAGCCAGGCAAGGTGTGAGAGAGAGGGACTGGGAACCAGGGGAGAGGACAGGGGGAGGGGGTGGGGAACGAGGGGAGAGAGCTCTTTATTGCTAACCCAGGATTATATATCTTTGGGGGGGCATACAAGCCCCTTAATTACAGGTAAAGACATACATCACAGGAAGGGGTTGTACTATAGGTAATACATTAATGGGAAGGGGGTGATCTAGGGGTATACATGCAATAGGAAGGGGAGGGATTGGGGTACACATGGGACTATATGGGAGGATCCTAGATTCTGGATGGCAGCCTAACTTTGATGGTCACTGAGCAGGTTAGATCTGGTCTCTAGCTCTCCATGGAAACCATATCAGTAGGGTGTGAACCCCACCTACTGTGGACCAGAAGGATGGAAGTAATCTATTGTCCTTAACAGCAGGAAGTGGGCTCCCCCTGTGGTAGGACCAGACAATAGGAAGGCAGCAATGCATCTGACCTTCCGCCGTGTGCTGGCAAATAGCCTCTAACATTTGGCACATCTTTGGGGGAGACAAACGTGGGGGAACAGTCTCTTTATAATCTCACAGGAGAGAATTGAGGTGACCAGAACTTGCCATGTGACCATGAGCCAGGGGCCCCATCTTTGGCGGTAGGAGTTTCTCTACCTGTGAAGTAGATACAACCATCTGGTTTGTAAGACAAGAGATACATTGTCTATGTGCATGCTTACTCAAAGAACAAGAATGTAATAACTGCCTTAAGTCTATGAAGCACTTTCCTCTTCTCCACTCCCCTGCATGCCATCTCTCCGGGAGAGAGACAACATTCCTTTCCATGATCCTATTTCTCAAGCTTCTAGGTTTTATTTATGAAGGGTTACTGGGGGTGAGGGGGTGGGGGTGTCATTAGGGATCTTTGTATTAACACAAAACAGGGCAGAATTGCCCCATGTAACAGGGCAGAATTGCTCCATCACATTTTCTTGGCTGTAATTTACAGAGATTGCCATGCCAGGTCTTTCTCCCTTGGAGCACCAGGGTGGGTTCAAAGTGTCAGTCTTTCAGTTAGCTGTTGGGGGCTTAACTTCAAGTGCCACCAGGGCTCCTTTATAAGGGATTATACATACCTGCATATCATATGTAGATCAGAGCATATATATGAAAGAGGAAACTACAGCTTCATAAAATTTTGGAAGAAATGATTCAGAAGGACGAGGAGAGTAGGTGGGAGAAGAATGGGGTGGGGAGCCCTGGCACGGGACCCTAGGCAGGACATTGCCCTCAGGTCAGCCCACGGTCAGTGTTCCCACTACACATGCCCTGAAGACCTCCACGCACCTCCTGTGCTTTAGAACCACGGAATGGCACGATTGTTCTCTGCCACATTGTTTTAGAGGAAATGCACCTGCAGGATGAAATTTGCTTAAGAGCCCATTCATACAGCACTTTTCCCATTGTGTTTCCATGTTATGTTAATTGCCTTTTAGCTAGATGCCTTTGTGTCTTGCAAGCTAATTCCGGAACACATTACGTGTGTTAAGTGAGAGATGATGTACAAGGATCTAAAGCTACAGAACAGAATGTGAGAGGAGGGGGCCTTTGACAAAGTACGCCACATCAGTGTGCAGCCACATCGTCATTGCAGCGCAGGCTGGCCGGCACCCCTTCAGCTTGCTTAGGAGAGCACAGAGGAGAATCGGGGAAGTCCAGGCAATCTCCTTGAAAGGGTAAATTTGGGAAATAAATATTTCCTTCAGCCACTGCTGGGCAGAAGGCAACTGAAGATGTTAGACCCTCAGAGCACGCTGTATTAGACTCCATGTAGGAAGCAGCGTTTGAAAGCGCTCCCAAGGATCCTTGACTCTTAGTGTGCACACCCCAGAGGGATTACCTCCCATAGAGCATGGGCTGGGCCTAGTGACTGACTTTTAATACATAGAATATGTGGAAAGTGATGGAATGTCCTTTCTGACATCCAGAAGACTTGATGCCAGGCTTGGGGTCTTCTCCATCTTTCCTCAGTTTCCTTAATATGAGGAGGCTTTAGGCTGCCCGATAAGAGTAGATCGGCTCTCCTGGCCAGGAATGGACAGCCTTGGGTGAATAACCTGAGGGAAAATTCTCCTAAGAACCATGTGAATGACCTTGGAAATGAACCTTTCCTGTGCTGACAGATTATAGAGTGAGACCCTGAGAAAGACCCATTCCTGTATCCTGACCCAAGAAATTGTGAGATAATTTTATTTTCCATTTCAGGCTGGTCTAGGGTACAAAAGAGACATCCTCATCTCAAATATAATTTCACAAGAACATGTATGAAGCTTAAACAAGGCAAAGACAATTCATCCAGATGAGGGAGACTAATGTTCATATGAGGTCCTCATGGTATCCCAAAGTTTATCAAGAACCAATGGCTTAAATGGGAGGAAAAGGAAATTGTCACAGAAACATGACGGCCGATGAGTCCATCCCAGTTACAGGTGGGACTACAGAAGCAGGGAGAGCACAGGATGGGGGCATACACATGATGCTAGACAGAAATGCTTACAAGACTGGTCCAGGAGCCTCCCGCGAGGGCAGGTAGAGTACTACTCATGTCTCTGCCACCACAGCATCTCCAGCTCCATCCAGGATGTGCCCAAGCAGGCTCCTAAGGAGACTGCCCTTCCCTCAGCTGGTTCAGGAGCAATGGTAGTCCGCTTTCTAATACACTCTGTCTGAGGGCAAAGCTGTTGGTATTCACAGTTAATGGTCAGGAGAAATTCAGCATGGGCTTCATCCAAGCAGAGACTCTGCAAATGGATTTGGGGTGTTCGCTGTTATCCACAGCCTTCCGCAAACCTCCAAACATCAAATTTACTGCCATCAGGTCAATGCAGACTCACAGCAACCCACCAGGACGGAATCGAACTGCCCCTTAGGGTTTCCAAGCCTTTAAAGCTTTTCAGAAGTAGAACGCCTCATCTTTGTCCAGGGGAGTGGCTGGTGGGCTCAAAACTACAGACCTGCGGTTAGAAACTCGGTGATAGCCTCAGTCCCTGGCAAATTCAGGGCTCAGAATTTAAGCTCCAATATAGAGCCACCACATTTTGAAAGAATATGTTGCGCAACAGATAACGAATATATCCAATATGCACTAAACGACTGGAAGCACGTAGATGGAGTATCCATCACCCATACTTTTCGATTTCAAAGTTAAATGGCGTTCAGATTCGTACAATAAGACGAGAGGACAGGGCAAAGCGAAAAGCCTCCCTGGACCTTTGTGGGGAGAAAGAAAGAAGAAAATCACATGGCAGCATTGCCTAGAAGAGAGAGTACCTAGAAGCACAGGTTGTATCTTCAGGCCATGAGCTATGCAAATTTGGGCAACTGACAGAAATTCTCTGGGACTTGGTTTCTCCACCAAAAAACGTGGCAGTATGTGAGAACTGCTAACATTCTATGAATTACGGGACTTGGGAGACCCCACCCCAAATCTCTTTCCGTTGGAAATCCCATCATTTATCAATTGGTTCCTACTGCCTCCGGTAACTACCCAAGGGGATAACTTTTGGATGTGGAAACAGATGCCGGAAAGGTGGTGAAACGTTTAAGGAACGTGCCACGAGGGGGTTCCTGTGCTGCTGGGGAGCAGCTGAAGCGGTGGTGGCCACAGTGGGCATGGTGACCTTACCATTTTGAGGGCCCTGGTGGTGTCCTTCCTGGCGAACGTGAACTGAATCACTGATCACCTGTGTCCTCGTTCCTTGACTGCAAGGAAGCTCAGGGCACACGCAAGTTCAGTGATACCGAATTGTATTGAGTTTTACAGCACACATATTTGAGTCTTTTTCCCCCCTTGTCCTAATTTTTCCACATAGAGCTTTATTACTCAAATCCTTTATGGAAAAAGCTGGGGAGGGGTGCCATCCCAAACCCACTGCTGTCATGTTTCACTGCCCCCCCTAATTATGATATAAACAGAAATAGTAAATCTGAAGATATATGTCTATCTTGCTTATATGTTTTCAAAATTTCAAGTTAACTTAGCTCTTGGGGAAGCCCAGATTTAATTTAGCATCATGTGGAAAAATAAACACAAAACACGGATTACAACAATATCTGTACCGTTTTATTTGTAAAAATAACCATCTGAATGCATTTCCATAGGATATTACAGGTAAATACTTCATTGTGTTAACAGAGCATTCAGTAGTTGCAAAAGTATTATAAACTGTGCTTGAGAAGATCCAATTGGTTCAAAGTCATTCACGTAACTAAAAGTCACGTTCCTCATTTTTACACTCATGACACTGACCTGCATCATTCAACTTCAGTCCGCTTAAGAAAGCGTTAGAGACAAAATCCCGCTGAAATTATCAAACGATATCTGACGCTGTTACAAATGTTATGCAAAACAGAACACTGGCACCAGATCTGTATCCTCGTGCTTTGCAAAGCTATATTGCACATGCGAAAGCCTAACAGATGTAGACAAACTACCAAACAAAAGATATTTGCATTGAAGTTTCAGATCACTGCCTAAGAACTACATAGAATTACATTGTAGACACACACCCACGCTCTGATTGTCACTATCTTAAAACGCTTTTCCCCTATAACACTGACCTACGGTTTGTAGTTTCGTAAGAAGAAAGCATTTAAGCACTGCAAACGCAAACATATTTCCTAGAGAAAACTGGAGCATCTGCACTTTCATTTCAAAGCAGGTGAGAGGGGGAAAAGACACTTTGCACATTCAAAGAAGGTTTGAAATAAAACCCACGGGTATTATATTGCTCTCATAACATTCAAATGAAAAAAAAAACACCTACAAAACATTCCAAAGAACATTTGCAGAATATACATATATCAAAAGGCACTCCAACTTCATCTTACAAGACAAAAAAAGGGATGAGTTCTTCAGCCAGTGCAACAGATAAGCAAGCGGAGTTGCTCACCAGCACAGAGTCAGGAGGGCAGCGGATCCTTCGGATGTTCTTGCTCTAACTGACCACAATAATAAATCGAGCCGGTGCTACTGCTCCACGTACCCAACATAGCACGCTGCCCTTTCAGCTGTGAGAAATAGAAATCCCCTGAGCGAGTTCCTGTGGAATCATAGCGGATTGCAGGCAATGTGGAGATGACAATACATTTCCCAAAGACACTGGCGACCAGGAAAGTGCAGTGAACCGTGATCCCTGTGTCCGGGTTAAAATACAGGCTCAGAGCAACACCTCAGAGTAACAGCATTGGACAACTACACCTCAATTTAAAATAACGTTTTCTGTTTTGCTTTCCCTCAGAAAACGATATTGAAAACATAATTTTATCTCTAAGAGTCAGCCTTGAAAAACACAAAAATGATCATTTTTATTTCATTTTTTTCTAGGCAGGAAAAAACAAGCAGACGAGCAAACAACGAACCACCTGGTATTTGGGGAGAGAGACAGAGCCCTTCAGTGAACCGTTCGTTGGCTCTATGATCTCATTTTGTTCCTTTGTCCTCCTCCGATGAGCAACAGAGCTGGGGCAAAGTCAGACTGCGTCTCCGTGGAGACAATGTCGCATGATCGGTCCCTGCGTTCCTGGCTGCCACAGCCCTGTGCTCTCTGCAACTCTACAGGGAAAGAAAGGCTACCGCGGTTTCACCATTGAAGCAGGCATTTTACTTCCTGTCTTAAAATGCTACCCGAGCAAGGGTTCCAGTCACCACAGTAGATCACGTTTCTTCAACCTTTGCAGTGTGTTGGTCAAAGGGAAAGTCATTATTGCTTGTTAGCAATCTGTCCACTAAAAGCAAACAGTGAGGGCAGAGGGCTGGGGAGGGGCACACACCACTGCGGGGTCAAAGCACAAGGTGGGCCATTTTCAAAGGAAATTCAGTGACATAGATACCAATTCGGTAAGTCCTTTGAACAAAGTTTTTCATCTGTGAAGAGCGCAGCCTAGGTTTCCATTAAATTCAGAGTATTAAAAGAGTCGGAGTAAAGTCCTGTACAGTTAGATGAAAAATATAATAATAGCATCTGTATCTGATCCCGATGTGCTAGAACACTGTTTCTAGAAAATATCTCTCACACACTATAAAATTGAAATTTCCAGGCTGAAAATGGAACTGGTTACAAAATATCAGCACACACTGGCCTCACGCCACCTTTCTTTCCTGTCTCTTCTTCAATTGGAAATCAGCCCTCGAGCTGGTCATGCACGGGTCTCCTCAGTCCATGGACCAACACACTTGACACGGTTTCCTATTGGGATGCTGGCGAGGTGAGATGCTCCGCGCTGGGTACTCGGGATGATTTCTGTGTCTTTCTTCTGGGCTACGTCAGGACCGATGTGCTTTGATAGTCCAGCTTTCATCGTAGGGAAGAGCATACAGACTGAGAGGTCTTGTCATCTCTCAGCTAGATGCAGACTGGGGGTGAGCATCTTGATCTTGAATCCCTTTTCCAAGGGATCATCTGGCAAGTCTAGCAGTGGCCATGCCGGGCTTAGGCCCAGGACTCCTGGCTGGCCATGGGCTGTGTGTTTTCTCTGCTTCTGTTACTGTTGTCATGTTATTCCAAATACGACACGCGGCAATTAAAACAGAGTTTGATTCATTTCAAATAAATATACACACATTAATAGCACGAGTATATGAACATTTCCCTCGTTTGGCAAAAGACCAAACGTTAATAATAATAAACCACGGTCAACACTTCATCGGTTACAAATGTCTAACCTTCAACGAGAAAGCTGCGTCTTAAGAAACAGAAGACACGACGAAGCCTGTTACACAAAAGAGATGAGCATTTTAACTCCAGAGCAAAGCTACTTCATTTCTCCTTCCACTTCGAAGGGAAAACAAAAACAAAGACGAAAAAAACCAAACAAACAGCAACTTTAAATCTTCCGCTTTCCACTGAAGCATGTTGGTCCTCCGGTATCGCTGGCTGATGAAGTACGTCTATACACATACACATGGATGTGTGCGCGTGGAGGTGCACAACTTTAGAGTCTCATTCTTCTTTTTGTACCGCCGGTCCACGTGCAGCCTGGGGTCCATTTGACCTAGAAGCTTTGGCAGAGGGCAGACACAGTGTTCACTATGCTGACTTCAGCGCCACACACACGGCAGCTGGCTGTGCGTCCATGGCCCCCAGCGCCCCCGGCTATTCCCGCGTGTGCTTTCCTTGGCCCCCTTTGGCAGCCGCACTCTCACTCCCTTGGCATGACCTTGACTGGGCACCTCATTCAACTCACTGCTCTTGCTTCACCCTACGTGAAATGGCCTCATCACAGAGCTGATGAAACATGCGATGGTGCTGATGTCTTCATAACGTTAGTATATTTAGGTAAGGATGAACTTATAAAGGTAGTTCCATTTTAATTTTGCATACTGTCTCAAAAGTTTTGGTACAATGCCATGTTCACCTAAAATGTTAGTAAATGGAGAGACTTGGATTCAATCACGGGGGCCAAATGAGTCACAAGCTTGCTATAGGGAGGACTGGGTGCCCTACTTGTGTGTGTGTGTGTGTGTGTGTTTTAATTTTTAAAAAAAGAAGCCATTTCAATTCTTAAAATTCATCCTTGGAAAGTAGTTCTGGATATTTAAGGGCTTATTATGTTGTACATGAACCGGACAAGAGCAGGATATAAATAATCAGGCTCCCTTAAAAAGCAGATGATTACAGGCATTATTTCTGGAGATGAATACCTTTACCTTTGGCATCTAGTGATGAAGTAAACATCTGAGTGAGGAGAGATCTGAGGCATTTCTATCCAACCCTTCCTTCCCCTCCCAGGGGCCATGAACGGCACACTGACAGACTTCTGAGAGCCCACTGCTGAGTGAGCACAAGAAAAACAAGACCAAAAATCCCGTATAGAGAACAGCTCCCTCCCTGTGGCACCCTCCCCAAAGGAAAAAGAACGAAATCCTTTTTCGTCCCGTATTCAAAACGAGAGGTAGACTTACACAGAAGTACCTTAAATCTTAGGAAACTTGGGGGGGGGGGGAAGAAGCAAAAGCAGGGCCCCTCTGTGTGAATACTTCCCTCCGCCGCATAGCTGCCTCCCTTTGGTGGGGTTAATTCCTTCTTTACAGGCCTCTAGAAGGACGCTTGGGCCCCCATAATACTTGGCCACTACAGAATCTTGAAATTCAAGCTTCGGTCCCTTCCTCCAACACGGTGGATCAAAGAAACGTTTCTACAGTCCAAAGTCAAAATGTCTCCGAATCGGAATCATTTTCGTTGAACCCATCCTCCGGGCCTACGTTGTTACTGCACAGACTGACCATGCTGCCCAGATTGGAGAGGGTTGTTCTGCTCAAATGGTCTTTTTTAAAACAAATGAAGTTGACAGCCGTCATTGTACTGGAAGGAGAAAAAGGCATCATGGTAGCCAAAATGAGGGCCAGGCAGTCAGCCACGTCTTTGTTAGGAGCACAAGCCAGGGCCGGGGTCTGACCTGGGCGTAAACGCAGACAAGGCAGTGGTTAGTACCGGGGCATCCAGAGGCGGCGTGAGCATTCCACAGTACATCTCGTTTGACCCCACAAGCAGAGATGTATGGCAAGTTAACATCATGCCAGGCAAGAGGAGGGGTTACTTTGTACACGTCATGCTGGGGGTAAGGCTAGACAGGGAGAGGAGATGGTTTAGGGAGGTGTTTGTTGTTCGGCTCACATGATGATAGCAAGCACTATATTATCTGAAGTTAGGCAGGGTTCCAGCCTTTATCTATGGAACAGAAACACGAGGAGGCAGGGCATGATCACACACAGGAACACGCACAGGACAACTAGGGAGAATGCTTCCACTCGTGAGCGCACACACATCATGAGCCTTGGCCGGGGCCCACAGGAAGGGCTCTCATTCTGAGAACAATGACTTTTCAAGTGTAGGCAATCACATGTCAGATTAGAAACGATATTTTGACTTAGATGTCTGCCCAAATGACTGGTGCCCTTGTACAACTTCGAATATACGTTATGTAACATTTTGCTGGCGACCGAGGGGCCGACACGCGTCCTGGTGCATACTGCTCTCGCTTTCTCTGTTGAATGAGACGGCCAGAGAGCGGCCATCTATCTCTCTATAAAGTACCATGAAGCATCTCTCCAAAGAGCCCGTGGAAAGCTGAAAGTGAGAGGCAGTGGAAATTTCCACAGACTCCTTGACACCCCCTCGTAGCCGTCGGTTAACTGGCTGCAGAAGAATGGAATGGCTTGAGTAGACCAGGCAGAGGGAGGCACTGGGGACCTGTGGTTTGAAATGTACTATCTTTTAGGAAAGAATTAACAGAACTACTGTTTGATGAGCCACATCACCAAGAGCCTTGAAATGCTCCCTGTAACATGTGGAGAAGTTGGTAGGCATGCCCTGGTATGGGCTGTGTCACCCTTTACAGACAGCCCGGGTGGCCGTTCCCCAGGAAAAACTGGCTCCATAGCTACTTCGGGTGCTCTGAGGAGTGGAGTCATTTAATCATGGCCCTTATCTAACCTTTGAGACTCCTGGCTGCTAAAGCTCCTCCTAGGACAACAAGCCACTCGGGAAATCACTCTAAAGAAGCGGCTTAAGAAAACGCAGTGTTTTATTGTCAGCATTGATGTGTTTTTGTTGCTGTTGTTTTTTTACACTGTTAACAGATTCTTCTTTTTTTATCCTGGACTGAGAACAAACAAGAGGGAGCAAGTGTCTTCACACTGCATTCCACATGGCAGACTTGAGGGCTCTGAGTTCCATGCTGAGTCCCAGGCCTTCAGGCCCCATCACAGCACCCCTGGCCAGGGCGCTCACTACTAAGGATGCGCTCAGCCGGGCAGGCCTCAGCTGCAGCACAGGTGTAGCTGGGAAGGGCAAAATGAGTGGACTCTGGTCTTTGTTGGTGATTTCGGAGAAAAGTGTGGGTCCCTGCATGCCAACCCTGAAGTATCCTGTGATGATAAAGAGCGTGGGGGAAAAGGAGGTAGGGAGACCAAGGAGATGGAATCATCGAGATGGGCTGCTCTTGGGAATAGAGCAGGACACATGCTAGGGAAAAATGGGCTGTAAAACCAAAAGCTAGTAAGAGTTCGCTAATGATGTCAGTACGGCTGCTTACTTCTGAGAAATAGGGACGAGCTGCTAACTCCAATACCTGTAATAAGCAGTTGAGTTACGTTAATACATTTTATCATAATGACTCATGAATTGCGACCATCAATGCCACATTAAAAAAATGTACTCATAAATATCCAGCAGTTCCTCTTTTGCTCCCAAGGGTTAATAGGCATTGCGCTTGAACTGGTCGTGTAATACATTTCCACTGTTCATTAGCTTTCATAACTTCTTAGGAAGCAGAATAGAAAGCTTCTGCTAAAAGTTCATTCAATTAGGAGGGGGACATTATGCAGATGAGGAGAAGCATTCAAGCCTGGATATTCATTCAGAAATTTTACTCTTGTTCTCTACATTTCCACACTGGGAACATGTGTTCTGGATCTAGCCACTAAAATAATCATACTAATTGGTTTGATCTCAGAATGAACGGAAATAAAATCAATGACCAGAGTTTTTATTTGCGCCCTAAAGCATGCACTAATGACATGGGTACTCCCTAACTCTTCAGTGTATGCAGTTAGAATTTTGACTGGCAACATGTTGTGGGTGTGTCTTATACATTTTAAGCTACCACGCCGAAGAGTGAGAGACCAACGATTGACACGACATGCAAAGTGGACAGCACTGGTGGGCTACAGGTAGGTGGACTCCGTGTTTTACAAAAAGACAGACAGGACAGATCAGCCTCGTTTGATTCCTTACACTCGTGGAGCTTCCAAAGCGGAGAGGATTCTCACTGCCTTTTCGACTGGCACCTAGCTTTCTCATCTTACGTGGGCATCCGCCAGTACAGGGGAGGTATTTGGGGTGACTGGTGATCTTTGCCACTTACCATTTTCATCGACAGCAAGAACACAGGCCCCTTTGGCTAGCAACTCCTCAACGACCATCTTCAAGCCGTTGCGTGCAGCAATATGGAGAGGGCTATAAAACATGACACCAAGCATCAGCTGCGATGCATGTTTGCCCGAGCACGTGCCACTGTTATTAACCCACATCCTTCACAGACAAAGGGCTTACGGATCTATAAATAGAATCCAACTATTTCACTTAAAAAAACACACCAAAAAAGACACTTGTGGACCAGACCTTTTCCAGGTGTTAATGATCCAACAGTGCTTTCAAGGTTGGCCCAGATTCCTCTGCAGGTTTTACAGATAATCTGCCTTTTAAGCACCTTCACTGACAGTATAGTTGAAGGCAGAGGAAGCACTCAAGCTCAGGTGTGTTTTGTGTAAAGTTCACCATATGCCCTCTGCCCCCACCCATAGTGTCGATTATGGCATTTGATTCAATGTTTCCCACAAATCATATGACTTGCATCAATATTGCTTCCATAAATCAGCTCAAAGCCTTACTATTACTAAGTGCATCCAGATAGTTTTACTAAATTTATAAAACCTTAAAGAATAATGTCAAATTCAGCAAATGCTGCTTTATAAGGTTTTGGACTTTTAAATAGGAAAAAAAAAAAAAAAAGCCCTATTTTGGGTAAAAAGAAAAAAGAAAAGAAAAATGAGCTGATTCCAAGAGCCCAAGCGGAAAGCAAATGTTTTGAGAATGACGAGGGCAACGAATGTGTGAATGCGCTTTACACAACTGACATATGTATGGATTGTGATAAGAGTTGTATGAGCCCCCAATAAAATGATTAAAAAATAAATAAAAGTCCTATTTTTAAAAATTAATAAAATAAAAGCCCTAATATTTCTCTGCCCTTAAAACAAATGCATAGATAATTTCTTAAACTAGAAATGGAAGCAGCTTTTAGGTCTTGCGCACTGAGAGTCACACTGAATTATATTAACATGCATTGAGGACAAATGGCTTGGAAACTTTTCAAGGGTATGTGGGGAGCTTGTTTTTCAAAACTGTCATTTCCCGGGAAGAAAGTTAAGGGGACTGCAAAGAGTCTGTTGGAAAATTCCACTATCATTGAATTCCATTTCCCCATAAAATTTTAGAAGCCCCCGAGTGCATCATGCTAATAATATAAGGAGGCTTCAATAAGTTCATGGACCTAAAAGATAACGGTATTTTGTTCCATAGTCTTTTTGAAACCCCTCGGTACATTTATACAGTTTCCCCAAATATGGCAGCCCATATAATTTTCTAACAGCCCATTACATTTATAATAGTATGCTAGAAATCTCAGTACATAAAACAGGCCTCGCAAAAGCGTATGGTGGCATAACAGGTGAAGGATGATGACCCAGGAGGGCCAGAGCTTGGTCAGCAGGCATGGACAGGAGCTTAGGCTTCATGAATGGGGGCCAGGAGCGGGTCTTTCCCCGCCGGGTCCCGGGTCCCCGCACAGCTGGGGCAGAGCAGCTCTGAAGGGCTGTTGCATCAATGCCCGCATCTGGGTTTGCATCAGACTTTAGACATGGACACTTACGTCTGCAGTGCGTTGTTTTTTGCATTAATAAGGCTCTCATCTTGTATCTTGTCAAGTATTAACAAGGCACATTTTTCATGACCCTAATAAAGAAAAAGAGCGATAAGACACAGGCGAGTTCCTGGAAATAAAAAAATAAATGACGCCATTATGCTTTCACTGGAAAACGGATTTCCTTGGCCGGAAAACATTCTGTGAGGCTATTTTTCAAGTGCGTTTTTTCTTTTACAACACAAGTGGTTAAAGGGTCACGTAAACTCTCAGATTCTGATGAAGTGTTTATGGTCAGACCACACTAGACTTAGATCTAAAATATCACTGTTTCTAAGGCAGCGGTTACCATGAATGTCACTGGGAGCTGAAGCAGATGGCATTGCGGCTAAAACTAAGAGTATCCTCCAAATCAGTGGTGCTCGCCCTGCCTCATGCTGCAACCCTTTAAACAGTTCCGCCTGTCGGGGTGACCCCCAACCACAAAATGATTTTCGTTGCTACTTCAAAACTTTAATTTTGCTACTGTTATGAATCGTCATGTAAATATCTGATATGCAGGACGTATTTTCATTGCTACAAATTGAACATAATTAAACATAATTAAAGCATAGTGATTAATCATAAAACAATAGGTAATTATATATTGTGAAATATTTATGTGTTTTCTGATGGTCTTAGGCGGTCCCTATGAAAGGGTCGTTCGACTCCCAAAGGGGTCATGACCCACAGGCTGCAAACTGCTGCTCTAAATCCTTCCCCATTATCTTCAAACCTGTGGAAAGTCCCAATTCCTCCCCCAAGTCCTACGAGACTATCTCCCTCAGTGATCTAACTGTCCTTAAACTGCTTATTCCCCATCATGCTATCACTCCTCACCCTTGACGGCCTTACGTAGGGAGAGACCGCTCAGGAAAGCCTGTTCTTTCCTTCCCTCCCATCCAGGATGGTCTCTATTGATAGACTTCAGACTGCCCTATTATAGGACTACAGCTAAGTGCTAGCTGTTCAATATGTGGTCCACAGAGTGGCTGTCCCAGGAGCTGGTTAGGAATACACTCTCTGGCTGTCCCCAAGACGTAACTAAACGGAGAGTCACCTTTTCGCACGATCCTCAGGTGATTGCTTTGCACATTAAATTTGAAAAGCAAGGCACGAAGATAAACCTTGATGTGAAACTGCCGAAACCCAGCCCTCTGTGTGGTTCCGAAGAATGAGGTGAGAAAGTACAACTGGGGCAAGGAATGGCTGAGACCTCTTGTGACTCTGATAGCTCTTACTACCCCAACGATACTGAACTACACCATCGCACTGCTGTCTGTCAACTGGCCTCTGCCAACAGGGCGACATTTAAGGGAGACCCTCAATTACAGCTTAATTATAACTGTAGACATCTCCTCTGGATACACTGCTGAGGGAGCATAAATGGTTGTAACTTAAAAGAGGGCAACTTGATTTGTAAATGTCTATATCCTTCTCACTGCCTCCAACGGCCCTAAGGACAGAGTAGAACTGCCCCAGGAGGTTGCTAAGACTACAACCCTTGCTGGGAGTAAAAGGCCTCATCTTTTGCCTATGCCAACAGGGCCCTCTAGTTTCTATACTTAGACCCAATAATTCCATGCCTAGAAATCTATTTTAAAAGAACGATCAAGATTTAAAAAAAAATTATCTGCAATAGGCATTAGTCATAGTAGATGATCTTTCGAAATAAGCTCTATTTTTAAGAGTAGCTAGTGAGCAAATAAATAACGACACATTCCCAAAGCAGAATGCCACACATCTTGTAAAACCTCCTAAGAGTCACCATCTCAAGGAAGAGATCCACGATGTGCTGTTTCATGACTAAAGCAGGTGATAGATCAGCAGGATCTCATTTTTGCAAAATCCTATGTTTACATATCATGTCGGCTTTATGGAAGCAGGAACCTTGAGTTACATGACCACACTGCTATAAAGAAGTGCATTTTTAGCATTGAACTCTATACCTGGTGGTGGGGGGGGAAGCAGGCAGGTAGAAATGCCTATGGCTGCATTCATTTGCCTCGAGTAGACCTTGTTGTTGTTATGTTATTCTAATGTCTTCAAATGGAAGAAGAAAAAGAAAGTGAAACTGTCTTGTTTTAGAAGACTATTAAGGTCCTAACCTGTGTTTAAGGAGCCCTGGTAGCTTAGTGGTTAAGTGTTGGGCTTCTATCATCAAAGTCAGCAGTTTGAAACCACCAGCCGCTCCTTGGGAGAAACAAGAGGCTTTCTACTCCCCAAATGAGTCGCTGTCTCGTAAACCCACAGGGGCAGTTACACCCGCTCCTCGAGGGTCACCGTGCATCAGCACTGGCTCTATCCTTGCTGCTGTTGTTGGGCGCCATTGAGTCAGCTGTGACCCACAGTGGTCTTGGGCACAACAGAACGAAACGCTGCCTGGTGCTGTGCCATCCTCACAATTGTTCCCATGCCTGGGCCCATTGATGGCTCTATGGTAGTGAGTTTGGTTTGGTTTCATTGGTGGCACTGTTGGTTAAGTGTTGAATTACTAAGTGCAAGGTCAGCAGTTCAAAACCACCAGCTGTTTCACAGGGGAAAAAGGATAAATAAGGTTATTTGCTCCCATAAAGATTCACAGACCCAGAGGTCCTGTATCGGGAGGGTATGAGTCAAAAATGAGGTGATGGCAGTGGGTTTTTAGGGAACTTGTGTTTGAAATCAAAATAGCACTGCAACCTGGCAGTAGCTCCAAAGACAGTCCAAGACGGACCGCAGCAAAGAGTCCCTCGGGCCCGTGTCTTAGAAGGCACACCGGCACGGGGCCCTGGGTGCGTCTGTGGCTTTCCAGTCTCTTCCTAGGCAGCAACATCTTGGGATATGTATCACTTCATGAAGGGCCACGAGCCACACCTTTGACATAAACAGACCTTACTTAAGAGGTATTACTATTCAAACAACATCAACCAACAGCGTTTTAAATTCCTTTACATACTTTACTACTAGCCAAATGTAAGGGTGTATTCAAGTCCTTATCCTGTACAGTCAGGTCAGCCTGGGCACTGTTCACCAAAATATCTAAAGGAAAACAACAACAACAAAGGGTTAGTTACTTGGACCAGGTATTAATCACATTATGCATTATGAAAATATGATTCCAAAACAGTATCTTTCAATATGTACAGCTTACATGAATCATATTCCGTTGTGTGTTTTTCTTTTTTAGGGAGCAGTTTATTGCCATATTTGGTACATCAAAATAAAGCATGAGGGCGTTAACTCTGTCCTCATTATAGCCACTTAAAATGATGCTTTGCTTTGTCAAGACTGAGAGATTTCACTGTAGAAAGGTTGGTTCATTTTCACAAGGCCCACCAATAATCCAGTAACAGGAGAGTGAAGATAACTGAGCACTCAGTCAGGTGGCCTGTGTGGACCTGCCAGCGGCCGTCGTCGGTGGGCAACACCAAGAGGAGTTACATAAGCACTTGGCTGCGAACTGAAAGGGAAACGGTGTGATTCCATCGGCTGTTCCGTGAGAGAAAGCTCGGCCAGTTGGCCTCCGGAGGACTCACCGCCGTGGAAACCCCATGGGCAGTTCTACTCTGTCCTGCGGGGTCCCCGGGAGTTGGTTTTCCTACCAAGCGAACAACATTGCATTTCTAGATTCCACGCAGCTTAGATTCTGGGGTGGGTACAACTGCCAAGTCCGCACGGGTACCTACCCACAGCGCCCGCCTGCCCGTGCTCGGCTGCCGTCATCAGTGCCGTTCTCCCCGAATTGTCCGCCGCGTTCACTGGCGCGTTGTGTCTCAAAAGCAGCTGCAGGCACTCCACGTGGTCAGCAAAGGCTGCTGCGTGGAGGGGGGTCCTTAGGATGGAAAACCGGCGCATTTTAGTTTCCTTTCATTGCGGTGCTCCTTCTCTCAGCATCACGGGCAGGGGGTGGTCCTGGGCATTTACCACAGCTTGGTGTATAGGGATAATGATCAAAAATCCCACTGAGGCCACACGGCTTGAACGCCAAGGTATCCCTGTGTGAATGGTGCCCTCTAGAGTCGGGGGATGTGTGGATGCATATATGCTGGCCCTGATCCTAGATTAGGCATCTCTGAAAGCAGCTGTTTGTTGCCCAGTTGACTGGATTCATGGTGACATCAGGTGCATCAGAGTAGCTTTCAATGGCAGATTTAAAAAAAAAATAGATCACCAGGCCTTTCTTCCACGGTCCCTGTGGGTGAGTTTGGCCCTCTAACATTCTGGTTAGCCACTAAGTGCGCTAATTGTTTGCACTGGACAAGGAACTCCTTGCCATCTCTATCATCTGGACATCTTTATTTTTCTGATTAAAAAAAGTATTTCTGTGATAGACAATTTCAGTTTCTCCTATCTTCAGCTAACCAACCCGCGCTTCGATTTTTTCTCCGCGCTGCTTGCCATGTCTAGTACTGGTTCCTAGACCTTTTTACCTCGCACAATATGCATACACCAGATCCTTTCCTTCAGAGCATTTTCATCAGGATAAGCCTGCAATCTTCACCAGTGACTCCCTACTCATCTCTAATACCTTCAATTAGAAACCCCTCAGAAGTTAAGCCTTTAATTTATAGATAACTGACTGTTTGCATGTTTAAAAACAGGAAACCCATATCACCTAATGTGGATGCTTGATTTCCTTGAGAAGATAATCAGTCATTAGCTATGAAGGTGAAAAACTATTCAACGTGGATCAGGCAATTTCACTACTGTCGCTCCTGGTTGATGCAATGAACCTACACAGTAACTACCCAAATGGTTGGAGGTTCAAGTTTACCCAGATCCGACTTGAGAGAAAGGCCTGGTAGTCTATCTACTTGGATAAAATCAGCCATTCAGCACAGTTCTCCTCTAACACACGCAGGCTGCCATGAATCAGAATCAACCAGATGGCAACTGGTAGGTGGTAATGTCACTTCTAGGGCTCTCTCCCAGATATACAGTCACATGTATGAGAATGGTCACTGCACCCACTATTTCAATAGCAACGTATTAAAAACAACCTAAATGTTCAATAAAAGGCAGGCTGATGAAACTGTAGTATATCCATTCAGTGGAGCAATATACAGTTTTAAGAAGAATGTGGTACATCTATATGTTTGGTCTAAGACCAATTAAGAGCAGTGCAGTGCACTGCATAAGATGTTCCCCCTTCTATGAAAATACATTTGCATAGATAGGAGGTGTGGGGCTTCAAACATTCGTGGAAAAATTCCATTACATTTTCCTTCCATTTGTCCATGAATTTCTGAAGCTCCCTTGTACTAAGATGAGTTTGTTGTTGTTGTCGTTAGGTGCCATTGAGTCAGCTCTGACCCACAGTGACCCTCTGCACAGTAGAATGACACACTGCCCGGTCCTGTGGCCTCCTCACAATCGTTCTATGCCCGAGCCCATGGTTGCAGCCCCTGCTGCCAATCCATCTCTCTGGGAGTCTTCTTCTTTTCCACTGTCCCTCCACTTAACCAAGCGTGAAGCCCTTCGTCTGACAATAGGCCCAGAGCATGTAAGACGAAGTCCTGCCATCCTTGCCTCTATGGAGGACTCTGATCTCATGCTCTCTTTCTTTTATGAAACAGAAAACGTTTGAAGCTAGGAATTCTGGGCCAAGAGGGAAAGGCCCCTTAATTTTACACCCTTTGCAATCCTTCGTTTCAAAGCCATACTTACTTTTTCAATGAAAAGACTATTAGCTGCACATGTGGCGAGGCGGCAGCCACAAAGCAAAGGCTAGGATTCCTCAAGAAACAGCTCTGCTACCTTGGGCTCACTCACCGTCCTTTGTCATCTCTACAGCTGACAATGCTGGAATCGATGGTCCCGAGGAGCAGGGACGCACAGCTCTCATGATCATTTATTCTAAAATGAAAGCGGATTGTAAGTTTAAAAAACTCCCCTTTGTTAAAAATGTATCTATCCCCTCCCATCCTGCGGTCCTATGCACACAGTATATATAACCAGCTGATGCATTTTAAAAACTCTGAGGCATAACATCTGTGGTCCATTGATTCCATTGCCACTGCTCTTTAGAAACCCAGGCTGACTGCAGACCATAGTCCAGGGGCCATGCAGGGGTTCTGGGACTATGAAAGACAGGAGTCCTTCCCATTTCCAACCACAGCCTCCAGGAACATTTCCAATAGAACGAACGGGCTTTAGGAGAAGCCTGGGGGCAGTGCAAAGATGAGCAACCCTGGACCTTTGTTCCTCGGGCGGACCGTGAACCTCAGTGAACCTGAGCTGGCAGGTGTCAGGTGACCACAGATTCCAGGTGACCTTGCTTCGCAGGCTGGCCATGGAAGTTACTGATTTACAGTTACTGAGCTCGCTAAGCTATAAGCAGTGGCTTCAGCTGCCACAGGTCAAACACGGAGTGTGTTGAACAAGGGCTGATAGGATGGGACGTGAGAAAAAAAATCCCATTTACTAAAAAGGGCCACCAAAGGATGCAGAAGGGGGGATTGGGATCTATGGAGTGTATTTGGCCCCACCACGTCTTTCAAATCATCCACAGGCTTATTGCTCTTAACCTGACTTTGTGGAAGGAGCCACAGACACGCAGCAGACACCTGTGAGGCAGGTCTGAACCAGAACTCGTTCGTCACCTTTGTGTAAGGTGTGTCTTAGCCCACCCCTGCACCCTGGGGCCTCTGAGTCGCCCCCGCACGATGGCACTCTGAGGAGAGCTCCCGGAAAATCATTAGCATTAGGGACCATGCTTTGCTATCAGAGCTATTTGTCTTGAGTGGCAAGATGGACTATATTGGTCTTATCTGTAATCGAAATGCTTTTCCCGTCCCTAAAAGGCAATTTCTGCAGGGCTAGTTAAAGAATCGAAAGTGGCACCAGCAACGCCCAGCATCTACTTACATGGCACAGTGCAGAGGAGTAAAGGGATTACCCATAAACGTGCGAAAACATTTTTGCTCCAAAAGTACCTCGAGACAGCTTTCATTACCTGCAAGGAATCAAAAGAATTTATGGAGTATCTAAGAAAGAAACTTTGATCAATCCTTTTTTTAAAATTTTTAGTGGTTATTTTACGTCTTCAATTCTGGCTTATGAATTTCCCCTGAAGTGGCTGAATGTTCATTCTTCATCGACTAAAATATATAAAATGCCAAAGTGTTATTAACTAGGCTCACGGGGGTCTGAGACATGATAAACACAGAAAAGCAGGAAGGCCACACGGTCCGGTGGAGGGAGAGAAAAGAGGCCACATTTGCAAGCAGCATCGATTCCTAATCATTCTTAGCCCTTAATAGATGAAAAAGAAAGTGCCTGGCAGAGGCATGCCTCAGTGTTTCCATATTTACTTTCACCTGTACAAGCAGCTTTACTTACAAGTATGCACCCTGGCCAGCTGAGGGGCCCTGCTGGCATAACGGTCAATGGCTTGCCCACTCACTCAAAGGTCAGTGGTTCAGATGCAAGAGCTGCTCCACAGGAGAAAGATGTGGCAGTCTGCTTCCGTAAAACAGCGTTGGAAGCTCTATGGGCGGAGGTTCTAGCCTGTTCTTCAGGGTTTCTACGAGTCGTCATCAGCTCAACAGTCACGACTCTGGTGCGTTCTGCTGCTTAACATAGAGGAGGACACTGATAGCAAGCAGTGTCCGACACAGTTCAGGCAAAAGAACTTTCAATGTTGTAAATGGCCCGCTCACAGTGCCTGGAATACCGTAGGCGCCAAGCAAACATCTTTTGAATGAATGAATGATGAATTCTTTTCAATAAAGTGGACGGTAATTTCCACATCAACAAAGTTTTGAATGCACTAAGCCCCCGTCTGTCTCTTGACTTGTTATGTGATCTTGGGCAACTTACTTGGATCTCTGAGGCTTGCTTTCCCACATGAAAAGGGAACTAGGAATCCCTGGCCTGCCCATCTTATAAGCCGATGGGACGTTTCCTCGCATTCAAAGGACTTAAAGGTGATTTATAAAGTGTGCTACAATGTCAGGCTGAAAGGCATTGTGATTTGTCTTTAGAATACAGGTTGCCGTCCTGGGCTGCGCTCAGTGCTCAATTAATCAAAGTTCCCTTGTGATCTCTCTAGAATGGTGCCAACTGGAAATTTTAAGTATTAAAATTTGTGCATAAAAAAAGAAAAGGTGAACTTTCTCTGAGGAGGATTAAGAAACATGTGAAGTAATGAACATAGAACATTCCTAATCTCAGGCAGCTTCGACAGTTTCCAGCTACCTCCACTCCTCACTCACACGGTCCCAGACTCTTCAGTGTCTGTAGCAGTATGACTTGCTCCCGACAGGGCCTAGCTAGGGCAGAAGCTACACATTCTGTTCTCTGGGGACTGTATGAACCCAAACCTAAGGGTCTGTGTAGGTAGGACTCGGGGGTCCTTGAATTGCTTTCACTTCTTTCCAAACGCCCAATGAAAGGGATTCTGGGAAGATGGAAGAGGGCTGCTCTTCCTTCCCGGCTAGCACCTGGTTAGGCCTAAAAACAGAGGGACATTTCCATACACCCACCCTCCCAAGGGAAGAGGATCCTAGCTGTGGCAAATTTGCCGCTTGCCATGATATCCAACACCTGCTGTGTCTTTCCACACCTGTCGGTTCTCTCCTGTCAGAGCTCTCTCACAGGCTGACCCCAAGTGGGGAGGGGGGAGCACAAGAAGTCCCGATGATGCAAGGTTAAGTGCTTAGCGGCTAACTGGAAGGTTGGCAGTTCAAACTCACCCATTGACTCCATGGGAGCTCCACCTGGCCATCTGTTTGGGTAAAGGTGTCACCTTAGAAAACCATAGGGGCAGTTCTACCTTGTTCCATGGGTTGCTGTGAGTGGAAAAGGGGCTCCACAGCCCCCGACCACCCCTCCCCACCACCCAGAGTTAGGGGAAGAAAGCCCACAATCCTCTGATGGCGGGGCAGGAGGGAAACCCAGGTGAATGAGCAGAAAGCTGAACTCTTATTCGAGGCAGATGCAATGGACTGAAAAAGGCTGTAACGACACTGTGCTGACATGTCTTAAATTGGTATCATTAAGCACACAGAAATCCTCTCTGGAAATAACAGTTGTACTTTCTACGTTTAAAAATTAACAAAAGAATTGCAGATATAAAAATAAAATGATAGAGGTAAGAAAAATAGGGAGACGTATTCATGTAATCTTGGGGTTGGGAGTGGGACATCTTAAGCAAGAATGGAAACCTAGATTTCCTAAAAGAACAATCTGACAGATTCAGTTACATAAGCGTTCAAGTTCTCCACATTGAAAAAGCCCACAAACAGTTGAGAAATGATACACAACGCAATAGGAAAAACAACACAAAGCGAAAAACTGGGCAATGGATAGAAAAGGTAATAATCCAAGAGAAAATGCTAACAAGCAATAAATCAGGACTTGGACCTGTCCAAGCTAGTCTGACTCCCTGATGATAATTTGCATATGCATCTCAGAATCTACACTTTAACAAGACCCCCAGGTGATTCTTAAGAACCGTATAGATCTTCATAGGAATCAGCTGGTGATCTTGTTGAACTATAGATTCTGATTCAATATGTTGACTGGGGGTAGGGGTGGGGGGTTGGTAGGAGTGGAAATGAGCCCTATTGGTGTGGTGGGTTACATGCTGCACTGCTAACTGCAAGATCAGCAGTTCGAAACCACTGCCTGCTCCTTGGGAGAAAGACAAGACTTCTATCCCATAAAGAGTTAAAGTGTAGGAAACCCACAGGGGCAGCTCTATTCTGACCCAGTAGGCTCCTAGGAGTCACATGACCGTGAGGGAGGAGGTGGAAATGAACATTTTCAGCTGGGGTTGAACTGGAATGCACTAGTTCAAAGCCCTGAAATAAATAGACAGCTAGGCAGGGAAATGCCGGTTAAAACGGTGATATACTTTTCAAACTAACAAAAACAAAAAGTTGCTATCGCCTTGGGCTGGCCAACGTGTAGAAAAACAGTATTTTTATATGCACATTTGGTGACGTAATAAATTATGATACTTATTTTGCAAAGTAATATGGTAGTTTATTAAAATTAAAGTTGTACATGTGTTGCACATGCCCTTTACCTCAATCATTTCACTTCTAGAATTCATTTGACAGAATTTAAAGGACCATAAGATGAACAGATGTGCACTGTACCATGGTTCATAACAGGAAAACCCTGAGAGCAACCTGAAGTTCCATCAACTGGGATCTGGTGAATACATTCTGATATATTTCTTTTATGTATGTTGTTGCTAGGTGCTGTGGAGGAGGCAGTTCCAATCCCGTGTACAACACAATGAAGCACACACATGCACGGGTGAACAGATATACACATCTACACAGGCTTCGAATTCTATCTTTCCAAGTATGTGTGTATTGTAAAAAAATACAACTTTTAAAAAGACCAGTCTGTACATGCATTGACTTATAAGGATGTTACATGTCAATGTATGTATGTTAACTAAACAACAACGAAAGAAAGCTAAACCAAAGTTATATGACTATAGAGTGATACTTATTGTATTTGTGTTTCTAAATTTATGTATACAGCTTTATATTAATAAAGATAAATATATACACATATGTGTATATATAAATATATCAAGTGTAAATACATATATATATATATATATATATATATATAACGCAAAAGATACTATGTTGAAGTGAAATTACTTGGTATGGCTGTTCTGTTAATAATTGGGCGGGTCATACAAGCAGAGTGCTAGAGACGCTAATAAAGGCGATTGGGCAGTTGTGTAAGGAAGCTATTTCAGAAACAAGAAGAGAGAATCCAGTGAGATCGAGAAAGAAGTGCCATCAACGGGGCCCATGTGAGCTCCCTGTCTGAAGTGGTAGAGGCAGCAGAGAGAGGCCGAAGCATCGGGACCAGGAGCCAGCGCATGGGAGCAGCACTGAAACTACGAGGCTGATTGGCAGGCTGCCTAGCCCAGGGAACAAGGCGAGGCCAAGGACTACATAACCGAGAGGCTGAGGATCAGAGAGACGATATTTCTGCCAATATGGCCGAGAAGAAGTGTTGCAGACAAAAGAATTGTTTCCTTAACATTCTGTTGGCTTCCCTAATAACCCCGTAATTGTGAGTACTGTCTGTGAGTTCTGGGAGGCCATTGCAGTAAGTTAGCAAACCCAGCAGAGAAGCAGAGTGCCCTGGGAGGGGCAGTTGGTGTCACAACAGGGTAAAGGAGGGCGCTGTATGGAGTCCTGGTTGACCTCAGCCTTGCGATCCACCGTGAGGTGAAGTGGCGTTGGTGTGGAGCTGTAGCCGGAACAGGTCACATGCAGCCCCCATGCCGTTCACTGAGACACGGACCAAACTAAATCAGAACGTGGGATTGGATTTGGAGACTTAATTTTAATTACTTTAGACATTTCTGTGTTTTTAATTATCCTGATTAACACGTATTTTTTTTGTTTAAAGAAGTAAACTCCTAAATAACACGTAAATCAAAATAAATGGGAAATGAGACAAAAAACGGAAATCCTGAAAGACATGTCATGTGTCTACGAGGAATCAGTTGCAGGGCCAGCGAATTGGTTCAGGTGGCTCTTGCTGCCAAGCTGCCTTTGCCTACACGGGCCTGGGAAGAAGGTGGGGAAGATGCTGATAGGACTCATCTGTGCAAATTGTGAACAGGAGTCCTAAGGATGCTGTCCTGCTGCATATAAAATGAGCCCTCGGAGAAGCAGCAGGAGGGGTCGCACTGCCAGAAAGAGCCAGGAGTGGAGGGTGTCCTCTGGGCCTGCGATCCCTGTATAGTGAACCTCCTGGATCCCGACGCAGCTGTGACATCAGGTGCATCCGCAGCTAAACCAGGAGCAGAGCTGGAAACAGTGGCGGACTCCCCGGCCCAAAGAGCAAGTAAAGCTGAGTGCTTTGCGGCAGGAGGCTGGCATGTGGACTGAGGCCACGAGACACGAGATGGGGGAGTTGGGCTTGCCTCACGGAAATGGCTTACAGAAGTGGGGTGCTGCTGGGCACTTAATTTAGGAAGCTGGGTTTGGTGACCTCAGAGCTTGAGCTGGATGACTTGAGTTGAGGCTTTCAGTGGAGGGCTGGGCCCTTGGGTGTTTATTAGCAGCCCTGAAAGAACTCTGTTACACGCCCGCATGAACAACTCTATCCTGAGCATTCCTCACTTGCAGCCTGTTAAATTCTCAAGTAAGCCTTTTAAGCATGTATTTTGTGTGGTCTGTGAGTTCTGTATAGTCATTGCAATGAATATTAGAACCTAGATATAAAAGTAGGGAATTCTAGTTAATATAACACATCAATTACAAGAGCCTATTACACTATATATAATACAGCATGAACACACACACATACACGTGAACATATATATAAATTCTAAGCCAAACTCATTGAGATGCCAACTCATAGGGGCCCCATAGGCGAGAGTGGAGCAGATCTATTGTGTTTGAGATACTGTAACCTTTACAGACATATACTGTCTCACTTTTCTCTCGTGAGGTGACTAGTGGGTTTGAACTGCCAGCCTTTCAGTTAGCAGCCCAATGCTTACCCACTGTGCCACCAGGCGCTCTCTCTCTCTCTCTCTCACACACACAGCATTATATATTATAGTTTATATAATATTATTTTGTTATATAAATAATACTATACACAACTTCAAAAAGTTGATGGAAAATTCCATTATCTTTCCATTCCATTTTCCCACAAATGTTTAAGACCCCCCTCATAATATCTATATATTATACTACATATATTTCTATATAAAGAAGTGTGTGTATGTATATATATAATTTCCTGAGCCATTCCTGATTGTTTTGTGAAGATCAGAAGCGCTAATGAAAATGGATTAGTTCTGTCAATCAGCAGGTCTAATTAACCATAATGTTACTAACAATGGGAAAGTGAACTTTGACTCAAGATGTTTCCTAAAACATGGTAGCCAGGAGAGAAAGGGGTTTTTCAAAAACGGGGTATTCTGGGTGTCGTGAGATTGGAAACTGCAGCCTAGGATTTCCTCGGAAGTCTGATCATCTGAAGGGAGTGGGGTCCGGCGGCTGGGGAGCGGTGGTGGGAAATGCAGTGACCAGCACTCACCATTGTAGCATGCCCAGTGCAGCGGCGTGTAGCCTTGATTATCTTTGAAAGAACAGTCCTCTTCGGAGAGGGCCATCTGCAGCAGCTCGCTCAGCCACGCAGCGTGACCCCGAGCGGCGGCGTAGTGCAGGGGCGTCCTCCCTCTGGAATCTTGACAGAGAATCGACACTTCTTGTTCCAGCAGCATTTGCACACACTCCTCGTGGCCCGTCATAATCTAGTGCACAGCAAGGAAAAACCCAAAACAAATCTCAGGGGAGCAGAAGATGCCGAAAGAGGCTGTCGGGGAAAGGAGGTTGGGTTTCCACTAAGTGCGCATGGGTCTGGGCTCACAAGCAACTCCACCTTGCTTGAAAAAAGGGCAATCCCATCAGGATCGTCAGGGGAATGCCGTGGGAAAATCTCTGGACTCTCCGACCAGGACCAAGTGAAGGACCGTGACAGCAGCAGAAAATACTGGCTTTAGAAAGACAGTCTGGTGACCCCGTTTATCAACCTTGGACAAGTCAGTTCTCGTCTTCCACTGCAGTGGGAACAGGAATCCCGTCCTCACCTGTCGCTGATGGAAAGGCTCCCAGCCGCGCGCCAAGAAAACGCTGATGACACTGACCCCTTAGCGGTCCTCGTTTTTCCGTCGTCAGAATGGTCAACACCATCCCCAAATAATATTGTATGAGGTCTGCTTTTGTTTCATCGAGTTTAGTTCACATGCCTTAAAATGCAGTTACCTGCATGTGGAAATATCTGCTCCTCATTCCGTTAGGAGCAGGATGACTTCCATAACATGCTATATTAATAAAGGAGTTCTCAGGGCTACCAACCTTACAGTAGAGATTGAGTAGTAGTATATTTCTCTTACACAAGAAAAAATAAAATAAAATAAAATGCAGTTACACAGGTACGTGCAAAGAATTGTCCACAAGGATGCCCATCTCAGCGTCATTTGTAACAAAGAACCATTACAAATGGTGTGACTACTCAACACGAGGAGACACTAAACTAAATGACAACACATGCACATACCAGAGCCTTAAAAACGATGGCACGGGGGATGAGCAACAGAAAAGGAGGCAGGGAGACAGCGGCCGGTGCGAGCATGAAAAAAAGTATCAAGGGTTCAAGGGGGGCAGGGGGAGAATGAGGAGCTGATACCAAGAGCTCAAGTAGAAAGAAAATATTTTGAAAATGATGATGGCAACCTATGTACAAAAGTGCTTGACACAGTGGATGGATGGATTGTGATAAGAGCTGTAAGAGCCCCCAATAAAATGACTAAAAAAATAAAAGCTAAATGGAAAATTACACGTTATGTATGCATGCTGTCCTTAGGGCCTCCCAGCCAGCTCTGGCTCCTCCCAGTGACCCTACATCTGAGGGTGATAAAGAAGGATCGTTGTAAAAGGACTGTCTCAGAAACCCAAAGGGGCAGATCTGCCCTGGCCTATAGAATTCCTATGAGTTGTAATCAATTTGGTTCAACAAAATGGTTTGTCTTACCATGTATACTCGTGTATAAGCCAAGGTTTTCAGCACATGTTTAATGCAGTTTTTGTGGTAAAATTTGGGGCCTCAGCTGATATTCGGGTCGGCTTATTCTCGAGTATATACGGTAATTGTTCAATTTTAATGAAGTATTTTATAAATGGGCAAAATGTTAAGAGTCTGCTTGCTATCAGGTTGAAATCTAGGCAAATGATGAAATTTTATTTTAAATCATGTAGAGCCAAAAAAAAAAAACAACCCAAGAAAACAAACACTGGCACAGAAAAACATTTAATGCCAAGGGACAAGACTTTTCACATACAAAGAGACTTAAAAAGCACGTTCCACAATAGTGGGTTTAGTGTTCTTTTTTCAAAAATCATTTAAAAAAAATCAACAGAAAAAAATGATTGGAAATGCATTTGCCAAAAAGCAGTTATCTCCAGGAGGTCCCATTACTGGCCATTGAGATTTTCCTTCTCTGTGCTTTTTCATATTTCGTAATTTTTCTACCTGTGAATGTGTCTTTGTAATCAGAAAACAAACAAATCTCCAAACAGTAGGTGTTCATGGGTCGATTTTCCCATTCTAACACGAACTCTCAAAAGCACCCAGGACCTAAGCGTAGTTGCCACATTTCACCTTGGCAAAAGGTTTGATAGTTTCTTTGGGACTGATGGAGGTTAATTGGCTATTGTGGGAGACGATGTTTTTCACTAAAATGCTGTATGGGTGTGTTGGGGGCAGGGCGTGGTGCGGGGGAAGCAGTGGCAGCAGGCTTCTGCAGAGACGCTGAGTGATGCGGAGGCAGAAGTACATACCCCTCTGTGCAGAGCTGTGCAGCCCATGATATCGATCGCATCCACCTCTGCTTCCTTTTCCAGCAACAGTGAAACGGCATCGATGTGGCCATATGCTACTGCAAGCATCAGTGGGGTTCTAGAGAGAGAGATAAGTCAGGTTTGGTTGTTTGTTTTTTAAGGAGATTAAGAAAAATCCAGTTCCAGTGGGAAGACTTTTTTTTTTTAAACCTTGACAACTTGCTAAATATTTTGTTTTCAAAGTGGTACCCACCATGTGGGACAAACTATCTGCCTCTGGTCTCTAATGGACATGTTGAATGGTGGACGAGTCAACAGAGTAGGGCAAATGCAGTTTTATTAGAAAAATGTTCACGTTAATGTTATCATTTTTAGAACATGTTGCTAAGTGGCAAGTGGGTTGGGTGTGTGTGTGTGTGTGTGTGATTCTTGCTTCTGTCTGAGCAGATTTTCTATGTTGGAGACTTCTGTCCAAGATTCAACTGAACAAAACCTTATTGCCTGAAAAGAGTTTGACAAGTGTAGAGAAAAGAACATTAGTGCTGGGGGGTCCAGGAGGTGGGTCCCTGACTCAGACTCGAACTCCTCACACCTTGCAGGGAGACACGAGTGCATTTCTGCTGGCCTTTTCCCAATGATAAGAGTTGGAACTGGGCCAACAGATGGAAAAACCAAACCAAAAATAAACCTCTAGCAAGGATAAAATTTTGCTCTCAAAACTTTTATGATGAATGTAACCTACTTAAATCTCTTTCTACTGTTATTATTTTTTTTAATGGGAAGAGTAAAACAAGTAGAAATAGGGAACAAAGAGGGGGGCTATAACAGAGGGACAAAATGCAAAGCTATCATGTAAAAGGTAGTTCTTTTTCTTTAAGATGTGCAGAAGTCACTGTGAAGACAAAACTATGATACAAGTACAAGTGTGCAAGTGTGTGTGTACACGCATGTGCATTGTGCGTGCACACACAGCATGCTTTTCTTGGGTCCATGCTCTAGCACACAACCACCTGCACTCTTGGGTTTCACTCAACCACACACCCTCAGGAGCCTTGGGTGCTGCAAATGGTTCATGGGCTCAGCCACGAGCAGAAGGGTTGGAGTCCATCCAGGAAGACCTGGTGACCTATGTCCCCAGCCCAGCCATTGAAAACCCCATGGAACCCAGATCTATTCTGACACACCGAATGGTGAGAGATGGCCGGGTGGGAACTGGGCCAACAGATGGAAAAACAAAACCAAAAATAAACCTCTAGTACGGATACAATTTTGAGGGATTTTTATGATGAAAGTAACCTATTGAAAGCTCTTCAACTGCCATTATTAAAGAGAGAGAGAGAGTAAAATAGAAATAGGGACCAAAGAGGGAAATATAAAAGAGGGGCAGGCTCTATTTGACGTGCCCCTGGGTGTCCATGAATGAGTTTGAGGTCAACCGGTAATGGTGGTGATACCTGCAACCTAAAATACTGGCAGTCAGCCCTCCCAGCCATTTAACAAATTAACGCCCTACCCATTGTGTTCGAAATGCCAACCCAAACCCAGGTGTGAGAACACTTACTGTCCTTTGCCGTCTTTCACATCAACCACTTCTGGATTGTCAGCAATTTCCAGTAATAGCCGCAAACACAGTGTGTGACCATTGATGACTGAAAAAGAAAATAGTGAACATTCTTTTGAGAGACCAACATTATAGACCCCTCTGAGACCACCCTGATTCGGACCCCACATTGGTGGTTTTCGGTTGCTGCTGACAGATCCCTTGGTCTCCAGCTCCTGGGCACAGGGTGACAGCCTGTGCCCTACTGACCCATCGTCCCCTCCCTCCCTTCAGGGACTTGACCTCGCCCTCCATGCTGGTTCCTGAACTGGGGGGGTTTCCTTAACCTGGTTCCTGACATCAGCTGTATCTCCTTGTACGAGACTGATCATCTCTCCTGACTCTTCAGTTACCGTTTTTCTTTGAATCGCTGTCTACCCACCCTCCAGTCCTTTTATAGGGGGGGGGGGAGACAAAGAGGGGAGGGAGGAAAAGGGAAAGGGACAAGGGGGGGAGGGCAGAGGAGGAGGGAAGAAGGAAAGAGAAGAAAACAGACCCTACTGCCTCTTCTTCGGGCCATTTTACACCCACTCACGATCTAAGACATCCCAGCAGTTCCAATTGATGAATGATAACCTTAGAGCACAACCTGAAGCCGGAAAGGTGCACACTCTGCACCTGTCAGTCATACCCTGCCAAGCCTGGTTCTTCTCACATTAGCTGAGCGGGCTCACTGATAGCCCGGCTCTCTCCAGAGACTCCAACGGGCAGCCTGAGGCTGGAGGATGCCCAGGTCCCAGGATTCCTTAACCAAAGCCTTCTGGGGCATCCGGGGCATCCTGAAGGCAGTCCTCTGACTGCCTCCCTCCTCTCTTCTCTGTCTCCTCAGCCAATCCAGAGCCCCTGCCCAGCACCTGCCCTGCCCTTCTCACGCAGGGTGCCCTTGGGCAGACAGTGCTGTCAGCCTGCTGGCTTGGTGGTGGTGCCACGGGGCTGGGTGGCTAACACAGGATAAGCCCCTGGTGTAGAGTGCTTCCCTCCAGCTTGCTGAGTGGGACCCAGTGACTTAGAATCGACCTGGCTTTCCACTTGGGGAGTAAGCGGAGTGCAAATATCTTTAAAATTCTAAACGTGACCTGCTCTCCTCTCTCCAGTGAGAATCCCATAAAACGGCTGCATCTAGCTCGTTAGGGATGTGGAGAGAAGGGAACAGATGCAGCTATGTGAGGTTGATAAAGGCCCTGCTAAGAGCTCTTTTTACAGCCCCTTTTACTGCCTGCCAGTCGGAAGGGGATGCTAATTTAACAATGAACACATTTTCCAGGGACAATATATGCTAGAATTCACTGCATTCATGGACACCACTCAAATTAACCACAGGAATAATACCCCATTTTGTAGACCCTCACAGATACATTCCCTTTATGTGTCTCGGGAGGAAATGTTATGCGTGGGAGTACAGGTACTGTGGTGGTGTTGCCTTTTTTGTTTTTTTCCCCAGGTTTTATTTGAAATGTGTTACCACTGATGAAATATGCAAGGAGCTTAATGCAGGCCTAAAAGGAACCGCACAGAACTGCGCGCTGCCTTGGCCTACCGCGGGGGAAGGTCTCGTGAAAGTGGTGGAACAGCTTATTTTGACTAGTTCCTCCCCCGGTCTCAGCCTGATCACCTTTTAAATATTCATAATCATAATAGTTACAAGGATGTCTGATTTTTGGCAAAACAGCTAACGGGGAAAAAAGAAAAAAGATCACATAAGTTTATATCTTTCACCCAGAGTGCTGGAGAGCGAGCTCAGCCTTCAGTTTCTATTTTTTCAACAGCGGTTGTTAGGCGCCATGGAGTCGGCTCTGACCCACAGTGACCCTCTGCACAACAGAACGAAAGGCTGCCCGGTCTGTACCATCCTCCCATTGTGCCTACGCCTGTGCCCGGGGCAGCCCCCCCCCCCCCCCGGTACCGATTCACCCCATGCCGGGCCCCCGTCTGCTGCCCCCCGACTTTGTCCGCACGAGGTCCTTGTGTGGGGGCTGCTCGCTCCTGAGAGCATGCTCAGAGCACCCGAGGCAAGGAAGCCTGGCCATCCTTGCCCTTACCGAGCACTCTGGCGGTACTTCTCCCAAGACACTTGTCGGTCCTTTTGGCAATCCAGGGTCCTTTCAACACGCTTCCAGCACCCCCATTCTTCGGCCTTCCTTATCCAATGACTTCTGAAGTTAGCAACAGTTTAGCTAACAGCCTTCAGGTCAATACTTGTGGCTCCTTATTGTCAATGGGTGGCCAGATTACAATCCTCTGGATCCACACACATTACTCCCCACTCACCCAGCCCCCGCCTTTTAGCAAGAAGATGCTAGCATCTTTTTTATTCTTAAAATCATTTTAAAGATTTGATCTTGAAAAGAAAAAAAGAAATAACTCAAAATGTTCTTTTTGATGCCACTTCTCTCTTTCCCCCATTATTTGTCTGCTTTGCAGTTTGTTTCCTTCTGCTCCAATCTTTGTGATTTTTCTTCTTTTTAAAAATCATTTTATTGGGGGCTCGTACAATGCTTATCACAATCCACACATCCATCCATTGTGTCAAGCACATTTGTACATTTGTTTGCCATCATCATTCTCAAAACATTTGCTTTCTACTTGAGTC